ATGATATATCTAGTGATAACGAGAAAAGATGTCTCGTTATGACGATATACATATGATATATCTGATAACGAGAAAAGATGTCTCGTTATGACGAAATACATAGGATATATCTGGTGATTACAAGAAAAGATGTCTCGTTATGACGAAATACATAGGATATATCTGGTGATAACGAGAAAAGATGTCTCGTTATGACGAAATACATATGATATATCTGGTGATAACGATGAAAATACATAGATATATCTGGTGATTACAAGAAAAGATGTCTCGTTAACGAAATACATAGATATATCGAAAAACAAATACATAGGATATATCTGGTGATAACGAGAAAAGATGATGACGAAATACATATGATATATCTGGTGATAACGAGAAAAGATGTCTCGTTATGACGAAATATATATGATATATCTGATTACGGTGATTACGAAATACATATGATATATCTGGTGATAACGAAAGATGTCTCGTTATGACGAAATACATATGATATATCTGGTGATAACGAGAAAAGATGTCTCGTTATGACGAAATACATATGATATATCTGGTGATAAGGAGAAAAGATGTCTCGTTATGACGAAATACATAGGATATATCTGGTGATTACAAGAAAAGATGTCTCGTTATGACGAAATACATAGGATATATCAAGTGATAAGGAGAAAAGATGTCTCGTTATGACGAAATACATAGGATATATCAAGTGATAACGAGAGATACATATATATCTGGTGATTACGAGAAAAGATGTCTCGTTATGGCGAAATACATATGATATATCAAGTGATAAGGAGAAAAGATGTCTCGTTATGACGAAATACATAGGATATATCAAGTGATAACGAGAAAAGATGTCTCGTTATGACGAAATACATATGATATATCAAGTGATAAGGAGAAAAGATGTCTCGTTATGACGAAATACATAGGATATATCAAGTGATAACGAGAAAAGATGTCTCGTTATGACGAAATACATAGGATATATCTGGTGATTACGAGAAAAGATGTCTCGTTATGACGAAATACATAGGATATATCAAGTGATAACGAGAAAAGATGTCTCGTTATGACGAAATACATAGGATATATCTGGTGATTACGAGAAAAGATGTCTCGTTATGACGAAATACATATGATATATCAAGTGATAAGGAGAAAAGATGTCTCGTTATGACGAAATACATAGGATATATCAAGTGATAACGAGAAAAGATGTCTCGTTATGACGAAATACATATGATATATCAAGTGATAAGGAGAAAAGATGTCTCGTTATGACGAAATACATATGACGAAATACATATGATATAATTAGTGATTACGAGAAAAGATGTCTCGTTATGACGAAATACATATGATATATCTGATAACGAGAAAAGATGTCTCGTTATGACGAAATACATATGATATATCTAGTGATAACGAGAAAAGATGTCTCGTTATGACGAAATACATAGGATATATCAAGTGATAACGAGAAAAGATGTCTCGTTATGACGAAATACATAGGATATATCAAGTGATTACGAGAAAAGATGTCTCGTTATGACGAAATACATATGATATATCAAGTGATAAGGAGAAAAGATGTCTCGTTATGACGAAATACATATGATATATCTAGTGATAACGAGAAAAGATGTCTCGTTATGACGAAATACATATGATATATCTGGTGATTACGAGAAAAGATGTCTCGTTATGACGAAATACATACGTTATGACGAAATACATAGGATATATCTGGTGATTACGAGAAAAGATGTCTCGTTATGACGAAATACATAGGATATATCTGGTGATAACGAGAAAAGATGTCTCGTTATGACGAAATACATAGGATATATCTGGTGATTACGAGAAAAGATGTCTCGTTATGGCGAAATACATATGATATATCAAGTGATAAGGAGAAAAGATGTCTCGTTATGACGAAATACATAGGATATATCAAGTGATAACGATATATACATATGATATATCAAGATAACGAGAAAAGATGTCTCGTTATGACGAAATACATATGATATATCTAGTGATAACGAGAAAAGATGTCTCGTTATGACGAAATACATATGATATATCTGATTACGAGAAAAGATGTCTCGTTATGACGAAATACATAGGATATATCTGATAACGAGAAAAGATGTCTCGTTATGACGAAATACATATGATATATCTGGTGATAACGAGAAAAGATGTCTCGTTATGACGAAATATATATGATATATCTGATTACGAGAAAAGATGTCTCGTTATGACGAAATACATATGATATATCTGATAACGTGTCTCGTTATGATACATAGGATATATCTGGTGATTACAAGAAAAGATGTCTCGTTATGACGAAATACATATGATATATCTAGTGATAACGAGAAAAGATGTCTCGTTATGACGAAATACATATGATATATCTAGTGATAACGAGAAAAGATGTCTCGTTATGACGAAATACATATGATATATCTGATTACGAGAAAAGATGTCTCGTTATGACGAAATACATATGATATATCTGATAACGAGAAAAGATGTCTCGTTATGACGAAATACATAGGATATATCTGGTGATTACGAGAAAAGATGTCTCGTTATGACGAAATACATATGATATATCTAGTGATAACGAGAAAATACATAGGATATATCTAGTGATAACGAGAAAAGATGTCTCGTTAAAAATACATATGATATATCTGGTGATAACGAGAAAAGATGTCTCGTTATGACGATATACATATGATATATCTAGTGATAACGAGAAAAGATGTCTCGTTATGACGAAATACATAGGATATATCTAGTGATAACGAGAAAAGATGTCTCGTTATGACGAAATACATATGATATATCTGGTGATTACGAGAAAAGATGTCTCGTTATGACGAAATACATATGATATATCTAGTGATAACGAGAAAAGATGTCTCGTTATGACGAAATACATATGATATATCTGATTACGAGAAAAGATGTCTCGTTATGACGAAATACATAGGATATATCTGGTGATTACGAGAAAAGATTATATATCTAGTGATAACGAGAAAACATGTCTCGTTATGACGAAATACATATGATATATCTGATATATCTGATTACGAAAAGATGTTCGTTATGACGAAATACATAGGATATATCTGGTGATAACAAGAAAAGATGTCTCGTTATGACGAAATACATAGGATATATCTGGTGATAACGAGAAAAGATGTCTCGTTATGACGAAATACATATGATATATCTGGTGATAACGAGAAAAGATGTCTCGTTATGACGAAATACATATGATATATCTGATTACGTGTCTCGTTATGACGAAATACATACATGATAACGATATATACGAAATACTGGATATATATGGTGATTACGAGAAAAGATGTCTCGTTATGACGAAATACATATGATATATCTGGTGATTACGAGAAAAGATGTCTCGTTATGACGAAATACATATGATATATGTAGTGATAACGAAATATGATGTCGATTTTTAAAAGTATACATACCTGCAGAAGGATCATATAAGAGTATTTCAGATGGTGGCCCGGATTTGTCTTTGTTTATCGAAAGAGTACAAATGATATAGCAAACCTACTGTTTGATTAAAATGAAACTCAAATCGGTCTTTTAATACAATACTCTACTTAAATGAATATTTAACAATATATACAAACATTTAGTTTGTTTCCTGTTTTTGTTGTGAAGTAATGGCGCGTGCAAACACTAGTCTAACCCCATTTTCAATATTTCCCGAAATAGTTGTGTCCACTTCTTAGTTTACTCCAGAAACTGGAACGCTTCATCTTGTCGTATTCGGATTGTATTTGAACTAAAATAACCGGAACACCTCGTCTTGTTTTGTCCGGATTTTAGTTTAATTCAGATAACATGAACACTTCGTCTTATTATCTCCGATCTTAGTTTAATTCAGATAAACACCATATTAACTCTCATACGTACTGCTGTATAATGCACGTGTTCTTAACTACCCATTTTATAATTCCTAATATGTAATTAAACAGGGATAAGCTCTGACAGTATTACACATTATTCAGGAATCACCTAAAATGTATCATCTTGGATTCTTTACAATAGTAATAATAAAATGATTAAACCGGTAGTAATTCATCAAAACCCTCTTGTAATGACCGAATGAATAAGAGACAGGAATTTGACCTCCGTCTCACCAACGGAAGACGCCATAATTATCCTCAATGTTTATTGTTTGTTTTGTTTTATTTTTTACGTTTTTGTTTTTTCTTTTTTTTTTTTTTTTTTTTTATTTTTTTAACTGAATATTTGTTTACTCGTCAACAGATGTGCAGTTACAGCACGCTTTAAAACTTTGTGTTTATATATAAAATCTATTCGTTTCAAGACAGATATCTATCCCAACATCAGAAAACCACCAACACAATGATTATCAGTTCAGAGTGTAAGACCAGATATCTAAGTGACACCGCGTATATATTACAAAATAAGACGGAATCGGACATTCTGAAAGTAGCATCAGTATGACACGTCATTCGGAACCATGGATATCAGGTTTCTACATTCCCTCAGTTCAGTGAATACATTATTTGTGCTTAAAACTAAATTCTAACTTTGAAATACGTGGTACTGTTAAATATTTGAAAAAAAATACTCTGAATACTTTAAATATGTGTATTTCAATGTATGTCTAAATCAATTATAACGTGAAATTTTGTGTCAATATTTCAATTTCCATGCTTTGGTTCATATTTATTGCAAAATACGGTAAAAAAGGTGTTTATTAAGCAGAGACAACTACGGCAGATAACTACGTCTGGGGAATGATTCTGTTGTTAGGGGCGCAACAATATGTTACTGCATTGTGATGTCATGCTTTTTATGACGTCACAAGTTGTTGCGTCCTAGCTACGGAACACTGTAACCTGCGATTAAGCACAGTTGTATTGTTCAGAAGAGTATTTAGCGATTTACCAATGGTAATGGAGAAAATATTCATTCCAGACATCGAGAAAATTGCAAGATCCATGTCAAGGACGTAAGTGATTTTCGGAACTTTTTATATTCAGTAGAATATTTACATAAAATAGTTTATAAGTAATTTACGTTGCTCAACTGGTTACAGTTGTTGATTAGAGAGTACCATAGGTTAGTGAAGATTTTCAAACATGAGTTAAAGAAAATTGGAAATTTCTTTATTGTTTCACAACTGTAGTTTGGTTGAGACAGGTCAGATTGATATGTTCTGTGTTAGGTTTGTAATTGATATATGTTTGTTCAGTGGTAACAGTTTCAATTTTTCACTAACCGCTGACATACTCCAACTAACTTTTGAGACACCAGAACCAGAGGTCTAAGGTTCAACTCCTGATGAAGGTCGGTTGTGGCATATTTTTTTTATCAACATCTATGGTGGTCATACATAGGTGGGCTTTCTATGCATCAGGGTGATTGTATGTGTTGGGTGCTTGTATTTTCCGATGGCTGCAATATGTATCCCTAAAACTCCAGGTGATAGTATGGATGTGAAGCCGATTTTAAAGTGCTATCATACCCCCACTCGGTCACTTTATACTGACAACGAACAAACTAGTTGTTACTCTACCAAAATGCTGAACCAGCAGCAAGCAGTTGTAACTACCATTTTTAAAGACTTTGGTATTTCTCCACCAGGGGACATAACCCAAAGCTTTGCTCAGAAGGGAAAACTTTCAAATGAAACTCCAAGCGAAGAAATGTCAAGAAAGATAGTAGGGAAAATAGTGTTAAAAGGGGTAAAAAAGATAACATCAAGTATATTCTGTCGCCTTTTACGATCATGCAGTGAGAACAGCACAGTCTTATATCCGGCTTGATTCTGTTTTTAAAAATGTATATCAACTTTTTGTGTTAAATTTATCGATGGCGCTTTGGTTAAAATCATAATCGTTATACTGGGACACAAACCTGAAATATCGGAATACAGACAACATCAAAAACATACAAAGTTGGAGATGCAGGGATTTCCGATCCGGAAATGAGACATTTATATTCGGAAAACTGAAGTTTAGGCGTATGTCGTTTGTCTAACAGCTTGGTGGAAAGCTGCCTATGTTGGTTCGCTGTAGGAAAGGATCGAGGTAAGCGGCTGGTGTTGAAAAGTCCGTAGTGTCTTTGATTTCCAACTATTGTGGGTATAGACGATGAACATAGTCGATAAATCTCTTGTTATTTAAAGTAATCATGTCATTGATATATCTGAAAGTGAAATTCAAGGACTTTGCAAGATCTTTATGACCTGTTTTGATAGGAATTTCCACATATTGTTCTGTGTGAAAAGAAAAACAACAGCAATGCAGCTAAAACAGGTTCACGGTCAGTTTCCGTACACATGCTGCTATTATGTTGTATCCGCCAAACTCAACGGAGATGTTGTCAGTCAGCAAGAAGGGAGTGGTATCTTTTCGTGGGAACACGTGTTTACGTGATATTTAGAGAACATCTCTTTTAGAATATGTAGAAAACAGTCGTTTTTGACTTCCTGGAACATGAAGTAGCTTTACTATTAAATGTTAGCTACTTTTCCGAATCATGGGTTTTAAGTGGAGCCGGAGAATACATCAAACGACTTGTCTCCAATCTGGTGATCACAGCGCCTCCTTAAGTCTGACAAGCTGGTAGCATTTTTAGTGTCTTACTGCATATACAATATACTGATTACTGTGTTGTAGATTACACACTTATCCAATTATTCCACAGCTACGTTGTGTTTACCCCTACAAGTGAAGCAAAATCTGCGTCTTGTTGCTTTATAAGCAGAAAAGACCCAGACCGGGACTCAAACCCGGTTTCTCGCATTTCTGAACGAACTTTTTTCTTGAGGCAAGATGTAGATGTGATCAACTGTAAATAAACTTCTATACTAACACACTTCCTGTGCGTAATGTTACAGTCATAATGTTTGTATCCATGGATAAAACATCACTATGTGTCCTCCCGGTTAAGGAATCCAAGTTTCATCCCTTTCCCATTTAACAATGTTTTCGATCCTTCACGCTGGTGAGACCCCATACCACTAACAATAACACGATAGGGAGAGTGGATATTACAACAAGAATAAGATTCGAATATGTGACCTTTGAACTTGAAATTAAACAAAACACATATTTATTTACGTATTTGTTTATTTATTTACTAATGTCAAAGGTATTTATAATAGAAAATATCTTACTTAAACCCAAAACAATGACCTTTTACAGACGTATTAAGCTATAACAAAACCTTCCCATAGATAAACTGTAGTGGCGTTATTTCTTTTTAAATTTAGAAATGTTAGTGAAATTTGATAAAAGTGAGATTTTGAGGAAGAGCCCTGAACTCTAAACGATCAAACAAATACTCTTTTGACGGAACTTCTCTATATACAATAATAATTATATAGTTTGCTCTGTGTTGAGAAACACATTACTCAATGTGCAATCATAACACATAATACAATACACAAATGTTTGTATTTAATATACATGTTATCATAACATAAATAGTATTGTACTACTAAATAAACAAAAGTTCACACCGCAATAAATCCTTATACGTCTTTTATGGTATACTACACGGTTATCAGTAACAACAACAACAACAACAACAACAACAACAACAACAACAACAACAACAACAACAACAACAACAACAACAACAACAACAACAACAAAAACAACAACAAAAACAACAACAAAAACAACAACCGACAACAGTTCTAACCTACAACAACAATAACAACTCACAAAAACAACCCATGACAACAACTGACAGCAACAACAACTTAAAACAACAACCCACAACAGTTACAATCTACAACAGTTACAACCTACAACAACAATAACAACTCACAAAAACAACCCACGACAACAACCCATGACAACAACTGACAGCAACAACAACTTAAAACAACAACCCACAACAGTTACAATCTACAACAGTTACAACCTACAACAACAATAACAACTCACAAAAACAACCCACGACAACAACCCATGACAACAACCGACAACAACAACAACTTAAAACAACAACACACAACAGTTAAAATCTACAACAGTTACAACCTACAACAACAACAACCGACAACAACAACAACATCAACAGCTACATCAACAACAACAACCGACAACAACAACAACAATAACAGCTACAACAACAACAACAACAACCGACAACAACAACAACAGCTACAACATCAACAGCTACATCAACAACAACTTAAAACAACAACCCACAACAGTTACAATCTACAACAGTTACAACCTACAACAACAATAACAACTCACAAAAACAACCCACGACAACAACCCATGACAACAACCGACAACAACAACAACTTAAAACAACAACACACAACAGTTAAAATCTACAACAGTTACAACCTACAACAACAACAACCGACAACAACATCAACAGCTACATCAACAACAACAACATCACAACAACAACAACATCAACAACAACAACAACAACGACAACAACAACAACAATAACAGCTACAACAACAACAACAACCGACCACAACAACAGCTACAACAACAACATCAACAGCTCCAACAACAACAACTTAAAACAACAACACACAACAGTTAAAATCTACAACAGTTACAACCTACAACAACAACAACCGACAACAACAACAACATCAACAACATCAACAACAACAACACAACAACAACAACAATAACAGCTACAACAACAACAACAACAACCGACAACAACAACAACAGCTACAACATCAACAGCTACATCAACAACAACTTAAAACAACAACCCACAACAGTTACAATCTACAACAGTTACAACCTACAACAACAATAACAACTCACAAAAACAACCCACGACAACAACAACAACTTAAAACAACAACCTACAACAGTTACAATCTACAACAGTAACAACCTACAACAACAACAACCGACAACAACAACAACCGACAACAACAACATCAACAACCGACAACAACAACAACAACATTAACAGCTACATCAACAACAACCACAACAATTGACAACAACAACAACAACCGACAACAACAACAACAACATCAACAGCTACAACAACAACCACAACATCAACAACAACCACAACAACCGACAACAACAACAACCGACAACAACAACAACAACAATAATATTATCGTTAAAATGGTACATTATTATATATTTTATAAGAAACATATGTATACTATTTGTCACATCATCACCTTGTGAAACAGCAACGCGAACTAAAGCAACGTCATAGAAATATACCTAGGATAGTGTGGTGTAAATAAACAGCTGAAAGGAACTCGTAATATTTCGATTAAAGATTTAAATATAATTTTCATTAATTTTACATGGCTTCCGAATCATTGCACATTGAATTTATGATCCAAGTTTTAATTTACGAGACAGAAATACGGTCAGTCACATGTTTACCAAATACTCCCAGTTCACCAGGTGTATGGATAAATGTTATCTATTTAATAGGGCAGGAACGCTGATGTCAAAAGCCGGAAACATCATAGAGTATGAATACAAATGATTTTTTGTGGGTTTTTTTTTTTTATTTTTGTGCTTTCTCAATTTTCTTTTACGTTGTTGTGACGTCATGTTTATTATTACGTCATTCCTAGTATGGTCTATGCTACAACAGAGACAAAATAAATCAGACTTTGGTTTTCCATCTATGAAGACAAATTGACGAATTGTTTATCAAAAATGATGGTCATTATTATCCCAGATACTGAGAAAGTCTCTGGTGTCACTGAGAAATCGTAAATAGTACACCAGTACTTGATGGTTAACATATAAGTAAAACTGATGATAACTGGCGCAATATTAACTCACTTGTCTTTCAGAATGTTGCTCGATGTTCGAATTCCTTATTAAAAGATATGGGTCACCTTCCGGACCACGTTGGTTTACCAGAAGTGTATACGCCCCAGTCTCCTCCCACAATTATACCCCTCACGTGCTTCAAACCACCGAACTGTTCGTTACTATGGCATGTTCTATAATTGCCGTGAACTATTAGCTACATGTGTCATTATCAAACCATCAGGTTTTAATTAATGTCCAAATTATTAGATATATGACTTAATAATTACAATATTGTATTGATAAAGATGTAAAGTCATTCCCATGTCTTATCATTCGTGTGGGATCGCTCCATTCTTTTTCGTGTTTGTGAACTCCACAAATATAACATGTAATATGATACTTGTGATTCAATTTAAAATCATTTTTTCCAGAATCGACAGATTTACGGATCTCGTTGAGGCTATTTCTTTGACGGAGGAAGGACGAAGTTGTGTCCAGAACGTGTCCAAAGTGGCCGTTTGTCGGGCGGTCATGATGGAACTGACCACGAAAAAAATCGGTAATATTTGACCACTATGAACTATCTTAGATCTGTTGTCGGTTTTGAATTTTATTTAAGATCTGGTGTCGGTTCAGTATTTTTACAATTGACGGATGGTTCAGTATTTGTATAATTGACAGATGATTCAGTATTTTTACAATAGACAGATGGTTCAGTATTTGTACAATTGACTGATAGTTCAGTAGTTCAGTATTAGTACAATCGACAGTTGGTTCAGTATTTGTACAATTGACGGATGGTTCAATATTTGTACAATTGACGCCTTGTTGTGTATATGTATAATATGGCGGCTTGCTTGACATATGCAATTTCTTTTTAATTGCTAGCTAGACATTTGTAGCTGATAACGTGTAACATGTATTTGCTGCGCGGGTTTTAATTTATAATTTTGGATCTGTTGTAGATTTTGACGGATTGTATGATATCCTACAGAATGTCATACTAACACTGGTAGCAGATGGATGTTCAGGATGTTGTCGCACGAATCAAACAAGATTACCAGGACTAACGTCGGTTCAGAAAGAAGCTCTGCGGAAGACGGAGACGTAAGTTAATTAAATACACATAAATCACAATGAAACACGAAAACTAATCTGACGCGTTGACAGACAGACGGACAGACGGACAGACAGACAGCGCGACAGTACGACAGACAGACATAAAAGTGCTTTATTGCAAATGTTACCGCGTACTGTAAACGGATTTATTGTAACACCCTAAATAAATAAATAAATATATATATATATATAATACGACTGCCAGATCACGCCCTCCGTAATGTCCTTGGAACGTAAATAATGAAAACTTATGGCTGTTGAAACATGTCGTAGTAAGCACAGCTTGATCCTAATTCTTGTGGAAAACTTTTGGTGTAAATTACGATCCGACAAAAAGAAACTGTGTCAGTCTTCAACTGCTGATTCGCTGAAACGTTCTCGCAGAACGGACTGTAAACTTAGACTTATCAACTGGTTTAAAAAATATCCTCACTCACAAAATATCTTTTCAGTTATCCATTTGGAATAGATACAATAGAAGGTTAACAAATACAAAATACCCGAACAAACATGAAACAAGAAATGCAAACTCGTTATGCCAAAAACTTTTTTACGAGAAAATTGATATTATCTAATAGGGCCAAAGCACATACAATTTCCGGTTTGTTTATTTTCCGGTTTAAATAGCGGAACTTACTATTATGTGGATCGACACTTGATAGTGGAAAAAGTTTTACTACAGCAGTTAATTCAGGTCAGATGTAGAGCTACCATCCTTAGCCCCTCTGTTAGCATTCACCCGTGACCATTAACTGACAAAGATAGAAAAAAAAGTTTACATCGGACTAAAGTCCTAAAAAATTAGTTTGCATCTCCAAGTGTTCGGCGCATTTCTCTCGCTCTTCAGCAGTGCGTGTTTTAATATTAGTTTTAAACTTTCAGCTTCGATAAACTCCTTGTGAAGGAACTCAAAAACCAAGTGAGAAATCTCCGTCAGTTGGTGAAGAAACACCGGAAATTAATGGCACAAGACGAGAAATACAGGCGGGTGAGTCATGATTCTTTTACCACTTAATTTTAGCATGATGTATTACTGTTCCTGTTAATGATATATGATATAGTTCCGGCACCAGTCAATCGACCGTGCCGGCATATGACGTCATACGATTGTTTCTTTTTGACGTCATCATTACCTCCATCACCTCAAATGTTAGTTAAATTTCCTCCCCTAGGAACCAAGGTGGGATCAATGCTGAACATGGTACTTGATGAATAAATCCATTATCGTACTTTATCACCATAGGACTACTTGTGATGTCTAGAGAGACTTGAGAATGACAAAACAATGGATTTTCTTCATTGTTAAATGCGTTGCTTTAGCAAATGCATCGGATAATCGGTAATACGGCCCACTCGAGATAGCATTTTACCGGAATTATTTTTTCCGAAATGGTATTCAGTTGTTTTTGTTGACGTCATGACCTGTATTTATTTCACTGAGTGAAGAAAAAATCTAAATTCTCTAGGCGACAAGAAAGACTGCATTAGGATTATTGTAAAGTCATATTTGATAAAATAAGTACGTTGTTATGACTGCTATGTTTCCTGCCATATGCTGAAATAAAATAAATCCGCACATCTGTCTCTTTATTTCTTGTTTTATTCCAACTATTTACAACAAAGTGTCGATCAGACGTTATGGAGTTACCTCCCTTTTCAACCCTTATTAGATATTATCAATAATTGTTAATTATAAATCATTTTACCTTGAGATATGTTGAGTATTTTATTTATATATAAATGGAAATAATTAACAAATAAACAAATAAATAAAAAAGAAATATTTAATTTGATTTTAAGTGTCACTACATACTTTATTCATTTCACACGTGTCTTTTGTGCTATCATGTTCCGAGGTACTCCGGCTCAATAAAAAATCCCGATGAATTAAGACCAAGTTAAACACTTTGATCACGAATCACAGTTCAACGTCACAAAACGTATATAGATGACAGCAACAACAAGCTGCTTTCGTTAAACAAACATCTACATCTTTCTAAAAAGAAAATAAAAAAAGGAAAGTGATTCAGTTTTCCCATTTACTTGAGATAATGTACAGCTAACACTTTAAATACTACGATAAAAGGATCGGGTCGGTGCGGCTTGTACATATATACATGTATATGTTAGTCACCAGGAACTTCTTAAACGGTCAGGGAATTATCACACCTGAGACCCGGGTTTGATTCCAGTCTAGAAACCTAGCGTGGGTGTGTCTTTCCGTTGTCTTTCTTTCCAGACTTAAATTCTTATTGTTGACAGGAAAGCGCCAAACACGAGCAGAAACTGGGAGCATTATTACAGCAAATTCACGGATCAGTGCCGCTCAAGCCAAGGATGCTTATTTTCCTACAAATGAAGCGAGATCGTGTACAAAAAGAGATGAATCGAGCCAAGTCAGCCCGACTCACAAACTCCGAGCTGGAGCAGAGTATTAGGTCCCAAATCAAAAACGTAAGAATTGTTGATCCGGTGTTAAGTAAAATCCCCATATCTCCTACACTGTACACTTGATTACTTTGAATTTTATGCCTTTTGTCAGAAAGGGATAGATTTACATCCGCTCAAATGAAGATGGTCATCGGTCAGGGTTAAAGGTTCAAAGGTCACATGTGACAAACTCCTATAAGCAAAAGAGGTGGGCGGTGGCGGGAGAGGTTATCATTTTCTTGTAGTCTTTCAGACTTTTTAAATTTTTATTTTTGTCCTTGCAGGAACCTGTTTCACATCCGGGACATTTTTATTAATGTGATTTTTAGCCTTAGTCTCTTTCATTGTCTCCGCTCGTTAGAATATATTTTCATTGTGTTATCATAAACGTTATCGTGTTTTTCACGTAATCCTTTGTATTCATTATTTACACTGAAAACCTACAGATCAGTGCCGACCTGATGTGTGTTATCACAGACAAGATCAAAGACAAGGTTGAATATGGCCTTGAAGATTGTCTCCTCGACGTCATCAGCAAAATGAGCGAACGTGAAAAGTAAGAACCCAAAGTGAATGTTTTTATTCAGTATGTGTCAAAACCTGCGTAATAACTGAATATCACTCACATATACACAGTGTGATCGTCCTTAAAGTTTGACGTCATGTATTATGACGTCACGATCAATGTCATTGATATTCAAATATAAACGATACTAATTGGTGGTCACTTGTTGATGTACGTTAGGTAATATTCACATGTCGAACGATGAAAATACTGTGACTGTGACATAGAGCTGATACTAGGGGTCTTAAGTACTGAACCACAGAAAGAGAGTTTGTAAAAATCAAATCGGTATAAACAGTTGATGCTGAGGGTCATTTACCGTAAACAAGTTGTGTGATTCATTTCAAGATACAGCAATGTGTGTTTTTTATTATTTTTTACAGCAGAGTCAAGGCTATTAACTGGATCCGACACATGAATGTTCAGGACATGACAGACAGGCTGGTTCATCAATGTTCGGACACCTACGTCATGAACATCAATGCTCCATTACCGGTAAATTTCATCAGCGTGACGAGACCCCCTCCCCTACCACAACGCCCTTTCCCAGCCCACCCCCCCCCCCCTCTCTCTCTCTCTCTCTCTCTCTCTCTCTCTCTCTCTCTCTCTTTCCCCACTTCCTCTCTCTCTCTCCCTCTCTCTGTCTGTCTCTCTGTCTGTCTCCTCCCCCACTCTCTCCCTCTCTCTCCCTCTCTCTTTCTCTCTCTCTCTCTCTCTCTCTCTCTCTCTCTCTCTCTCTCTCTCTCTCTCTCTCTCTCTCTCTCTCTCTCTCTCTCTCTCTCTCTCTCTCTCTCTCTCTCTCTCTCTCTCTCTCTCTCTCTCTCTCTCTCTGTGTGTGTGTGTGTGTGTGTGTCTCTCTCTCTCTCTCTCTCTCTCTCTCTCTCTCTCTCTCTCTCTCTCTCTCTCTCTCTCTCTCTCTCTCTCTCTCTCTGTGTGTCTCTCTCTCTCTCTGTCTCTCTCTCTCTCTCTCTCTCTCTCTCTCTCTCTCTCTCTCTCTCTCTCTCTCTCTCTCTCTCTCTCTCTCTCTCTCTCTCTCTCTCTCTCTCTCTCTCTCTCTCTCTCTCTCTCTCTCTCTCTCTCTCTCTCTCGGATCACTTATATCGACGATTTAAAAACTCGATTCAATATGAAAGACAGCAACGTTAATTAATAATAATTGATAAAGTATTTCAGTCCAAAACATTACATAATCATCGTACAGAAAATATCAATTTATAGGCAATTATAATAACCAGATATTGAAATAGATACAAACATGCATTTTCTAGCATTTGAAACAACTTGAAAAATTAGAAATACGTTTCTGATTTTACCTGACATAGTTGACTTTCAAGACTTTGTTAAAATATTTTATTATGTTGGCGGGCTAGTATCGCATCTAATACACTGTATATCATTATACTAGACCTACAAAAACACCACGGACTTGTTACTTGAGAATTAAGAACATGGATTGACGTTCGAGAATTTTAACCAACCTGCAAGCGCAATTTATTTCATTCTCATCTATATTCCGTCTTGAAACATGTCCTGCATTAAAATCTTCGAATATTGATGTATCAACACGGATTTCTCTAGTTTAAGAGTGGGGGTGGGGAGGAGGGGTGTTAAAACTCACAAACACACATTTAATGACTCACATACCTAGAAAATTTTAAACATCGTAGTATTAGTTACATTGCAATCGCTTACACATTGTTTATTTAATGTTATTTATATAATCCTTGTTTTCTAAGGAAATCTTCCCTAATGAAGAACTTACTCTGGACGATATCTCGAGCTTTACCGGAAGTGACGTCGAACGATCCGGAAGTGTATGCAATTCCGCCAATATGGAGGAGGTTAAACCCGACAGCTCCAGTGAGGCAGTGGACAACGTGGATCCAGCATGTGGAGGAACTATTTGCCGTAAACTTGGATTTTGCGATGGAAATGAAAACAACAAGTTTAAAATGGGTAAGTTGTCAGACCAGACGATCTACATTATGAATGCCTATTTCAATAATTCGTTTGTAGACATTTAAAAAAATAAATATTTGAAAAAAAAATGAAAGAAAAAAATCTATAGGGCAAATGACATTCACTCGATGTCCTTTTCTAACAGTTTTCTAAGTTGACAGTCTAATCAAACACCGACAAGGGTATTTATATCAAAACGGTTTTATGTCAGGACTAATACGGAATTTACTTCTCTAACGAATCGTTTATTTTTAATTTTAAGGATTATATCTTAAAACTGAAAGTTTATTTTTTCAATTATTATCTGCTTTGTTGTTGTTTTTTCAGACATACCTACAGGATTAATATCTATCTTTTTTCTTTTTTTCAGGTCTGGCCAGACGTAAAGCAACAATGACTAAGGTGGAGGCACACATGAATAATGACAAATGGAGTCCAGGCTTTCTTAAGGCCAAGTCTGGTGAGTACTGGAGGTTTATGATTTATGATTCTGTACAGACATATTCAACAGATGAAAAAAATTAATCACTTAGAGGCTTGTAAACAAACACCGCGCATTTACACATTGGAAAAGTAGTGAGACGGTCGCGTATTCCTAAGCGACCCTCATCACCTGGGGATACAAATCTGTATTCACTTTGAATCAATTCGCGAAGATAAAAGCAAACTTATCTATAGACTACGTAATGCGAGTTCAAAATATTTTTTACCTTTAAATCTTCAGGCATGGTAGTTCGACAGACAGCTGGTGGGGTTGACGGAAGTGACGTCGGCTTCGGATACTATCGACCTCCTTTGAAATGGAGAACAAAATTGTGGGGATTCCATTTCGTCAAACCGAGTCATTGATTTCTAGTATCGTCAACAAATGGGAGGGGATTTTGTTTTATTTGTAAATGAACATTATAACAATGTTTTTGAGAGACCCTACAGAAGCCACTGTGAGTTAAATGGATGTGCGGAAAGCGTGGTTTTAAAGGATAAGTATTGGCCAAAAGGTTCTAGGGATGAAAACATGGCGTCGTATGAAGACATTGGAAGTCATGCTGTAGAAAAACAATTGTGGTTTCGTTGGAACAAAGACAGAATTACAGGCAGGATGCTAACACGCCGTAAAAAATGCCATGTTGGGAATATACGATAGAACTATTATGTAATAATGAACAGGTATGTTGTAAACGTCGAGACGGTTCTGTAGCTGTGATGTCACTGTTTTAACCCGGGAATCAGCAGTCGGGACGGTTCTGTAGCTGTGAGGTCAATGTTTTAACCCGGGAATCAGCAGTCGGGACGGTTCTGTAGCTGTGATGTCACTGTTTTAACCCGGGAATCAGCAGTCGGGACGGTTCTGTAGCTGTGAGGTCAATGTTTTAACCCGGGAATCAGCAGTCGGGACGGTTCTGTAGCTGTGACGTCAATGTTTTAACGCGGGAATCAGCAGTCGAGACGGTTCTGTAGCTGTGACGTCAATGCTTTAATCCGGGAATCAGCAGTCGAGACGGTTCTGTAGCTGTGATGTCAATGTTTAACCCGGGAATCAGCAGTCGAGACGGTTCTGTTGCTGTGATGCCAATGTTTTAACCTAGGAATCAGCAGTCGAGACGGTTCTGTAGCTGTGATGTCAATGTTTTAACCCGGGAATCAGCAGTCGAGACGGTTCTGTAGCTGTGATGTCAATGTTTTAACCCGGGAATCAGCAGTCGAGACGGTTCTGTAGCTGTCAGCAGTCGAGACGGTTCTGTAGCTGTGACGTCACTGTTTTAACCCGGGAATCAGCAGTCGAGACGGTTCTGTAGCTGTGATGTCAATGTTTTAACCCGGGAATCAGCAGTCGAGACGGTTCTGTAGCTGTGATGTCAATGTTTTAACCCGGGAATCAGCAGGCGAGACGGTTCTGTAGCTGTGTTGTCAATGTTTAACCCGGGAATCAGCAGTCGAGACGGTTCTGTAGCTGTGATGTCAATGTTTTAACCCAGGAATCAGCAGTCGAGACGGTTCTGTAGCTGTGATGTCAATGTTTTAATCCGGGAATCAGCAGTCGAGACGGTTCTGTAGCTGTGATGTCAATGTTTTAACGTAGGAATCAGCAGTCAAGACAGTTCTATAGCTGTTGTGTCAATGTTTCAACAATGGAATCAGCAGGCGAGACAGTTCTGTAACTGTGACGTAACTGTTTAAAGCGTGAATCACTCGATTTGGGAGTTATAATGCTACGACGTCATAGTTTCAACGTTGGCCCCTAATGATAATGCAGTTCAATAATTTCTGTAGCTGTGACGTCACTGGTCTAAGATGAGATATCAGACTGCCAAGTATAGTATCGGACGAATCACTGGATGAGGCAGATCTATAGATGTGATGAGACTGTTCTGCCGATGTGACGTCACTGTTTTCACGCCAAATGCCAGGTTGTCAAATCAGAGAAAGAACCGATATTTTCTGAACAGTAGATCTGACCCCACTAACGTAAAGTGGAAATGTCAGACTGTTTATCCATCACTGAAGAAATCGCTGAATCAGACGTCATTACTTTATCGGGGAGTGTCAGACTACCACGGGGATGTTTCAGTTGGTCGTCTTGCTGCGATCTGCAGCTCTCAACTCTGTGAAATTGTTTGAACATATTTATTATTTATTTATGATAAAGATATTAAAGAAAAGAACATATAAATGTAACCGTTTTTATATCTGAATTATAGGTTTATATAACGATAAATACTTCTGTGTAGTTCTGTAGCAATTAAGTCCAGTTTCCTTGTACAAATGTAGATTAATTAGTGTATACATACAGGGGTATGTATGAGGGGAGACAACTTTACCCATGGTAGGGCTTTCTTTTATATATCATAACAGATAGAGGTCAGATGGGTAGACCATATTTAACTAGATATTAGATATGATGGAACAAACAAGTGTTATAAAAGTGACATAAGGTCCTGATATATATGAGTATATACTGATTACATATGGTTTACCTATGCTGACCTGTCCGGTAGCATTTCGTTAATTAACTACACGTAACATTAGCTGTAGCAC